CTGGATGGATGCCCGCTTACTGCCTGCGGGCCCCCCAATAAACATGAATTCCAGAAATGGGAAGTAGGGGGATGCGTGGCTTTATCACCCCTCTTTCGGGGTCACGGCCAAGGGCTTTGGAGATTCCTAGAATGGGGCAGGGCTAATTTGAGGCAGGAGAAAATAGAAATGCTGACCGCAGCCTCTGTGCAGGGGTGTGTTTGTCATCAGGCACAGCACCATCTGGTCCCCAAGGCCGCCTGGTCCCCTTGTCTGCCTGGGCCTCCACACAGAAAATGATGCTTCTACATCTATATTCCATTGTGGGGGTCCAGAAAGCCCCTTAGTGGGACCGTATGGTCTCTAAGTCACTCTGTAACCTGCTGGTAACATAATGGGACACCCCCTGTCACTCACTCTTGGAGAAACTTCCGTCCTGGCCCTTCTGAGTGGACAGGCTGACCAGTGGATTACTCGGTGAGTGTGTTTCCTGGCCACCCCACCTTTCCTAATATGCTCCCAGGCCACGGTACACTGCCCATGTTCTTAGAACGAAGCTTCTCTTTTACCTTGTGCTCCTTCCAAGAGGCAACATAACTCTTGACGACCTGGCACTTCAATCCAGAGATCCAACCCCAAAACCCCAAGCCTCCTCTGTCTGACTCGTTTTTTTCCCAGAGATGGGGCTGGGACAGCTTTTTCTAGCCCTTTGAAAGGAAGGTCTTTGCCCTGAGATTCTTCATGACTCATCTTACCTAACCCCAATGTTTTCCCTTGGTATTTCTTTTTGGTTGGGTATTTGGGCCACACCCAGTGGTTGCTCAGGGCTTATGCCTGACTCTGAGCTTAGGGATCTCTCCTGGTGGGGCTTGGGCAACCATATGAAGTGCCGGGGGTCAAACCCAGGTCATCTGTGTGGAAAGCAAGAGCCCTACACACCGAACTATCTCTCAGGCTGCTAAACTAATCTTCCTCCTCCTCTTCCTCCTCTTCCACAAGTGGCATCTCTTTTTTTTTCTTTTTGGTCACACTCCTGGCTCTGCACTCAGGAATTACTCCTGAGGGTGCTTGGGGGACCATATGGGGTGCTGGGAATCAAACCCTGGTCGGCTGCATGCAGGGCAAACACCCTACCTGCTGTGCTCCAACCCCATATTTTCCATTTTGAATTGGATTCTAGCATGGACCTCAGCTGCTTAGTCATTGCTGACCTAGGGAGGGGAGAGGCATGAACCTCTCGCCTATGGAAAAAGCGTCTGGTTGGGCACTGACCAGAAATTAATCCTAAACCCACCGCCTGATGACTCTGAGGTGTTTCTGGCCTCGCTCACCTGTGATGCATTTTTGGGGGGCAAAATGCGGTGTCAAGTGGGAAAAGTGTATAAGGGTCTGGCTTAGGTGATTCTCTGGCCACAGTGTCACTTAGGCCCATGGCAGAGGGAAGCTGTCAGTAAGATTTTATAACTTTCGGTAGAAGCCCGGTTCTCTCTGGGAAGAGCTCTGGCTTTAGAGGGGTTTCACTGAGGAGCCCCCCACAGAGGGAACCCACATTTCATCTCCCGATCCCTGTGATTGTTCTTCCTGGGTTCACTGTTCCTTTAGTCCATTTTTCAACCCCCCAGACCTGCCACGCTGTGTGTCTCCTCTGGGTGCCAGAAATGTAATTCAGGGTCACAGCACTGCGAAACATGTCTGTTGGTTCTATCTCCTGCCTGGGATCTCACTGCTCATTTTATAAGAACATCCACAAGGAAAAATGGCTCAGAAAATCAGCAAGAGGCTATTGTCCAATCCGCTATAACACTGTGCTTCTTTATTGCCTTATGAAAGAGTGAGTACTTCATTTGTGGAATATAGAATAACATAGTAGGAGACTGATACCCAAGGACAGTAGACACAAGGACCAGGAATATTGCTTCATAGTTGGAAGCCTGCCTCATGAGCTGGGGGAGAAGGCAGCTGGGATAGAAACGGGATCACTAAGACAATGATGGTTGGAGGGATTGCTCAGTGTGGGAGATGTGTGCAGAAAGTAGATACAGGACCAAACGTGATAGCATCTTAGTGTCTGTATTGCAAACCATGATGCCCAAAAGTAGAGAGAGAGTATGGAGGGAAACTGTCTGCCATAGAGGCAGGGAGAGGGTTGAAAAGGTTGAGGGGGGGGTCATACTGGGGACATTGTTGGTAGAGAATGTGCACTGGTGGAGGGATGGGTGGTTGATCATTGTAAGACTGAAACTCAAACATGAAAGCTTTGTAACTGTATCCCACAGTGATTCAATTAAAAAATAATAAAATGTAGATGCAGCCTAATGTCCTTCCTCTCCCCTTTGCCCATGTCGCAGTGAGTCACATGAACACTTGTGATGCTTGTACGTTTGGTCGTCTCACCCTTAACACATCCTGCCTGTAGGTCATGCCAGGGTCCCTGCCTTACCAGGCGCAGGGCTGCTCATGTGACTGTGGTGTGTCCCCAGCTTTGTAGTCATGGTGCTTGCTGGAGGGCCCCCTTGGTATCTGTGTTCAGACATACCTGACTATGGCGAGGCCAGAAATTACTTGTGTGCTGGGGACCACAGACAGCAGAGGCTCCAGCCTGCAGAAGCCAGAATCATGCTCCAGCATGTGGCAGCTCAGTGGGGTTGAGCTCACTGCCCCCTGGTGTAGGACAAACTCATGTTCCACTTGCATCATCTCCCAGCCCCCTTGCTATTTTTTTATGCTTTTTTGGGGGTCACACCCAGCAATGCTCAGGGGCTATTCCTGTCTCTGCACTCAGGAATTACTCCTGACGGTGCTTGGGGGACCATATGGGGTGCCAGGGATTGAACCTGGGTCAGCCGCAAGCAAGGGACATTCCCTACCTGCTGTATTATGCCCCGGCCCCTCTTTTTGGTTTTTAAATATAGTAATCAACTTCAAAAGTGCTTTAACTCTTACTATTTTGTGCCAGGAAAGTCAAGAAACCGTGTCAAGCTTACCTGATTGCAAGCAAGGCTTGCTATACTGGCTACTCCTTCTTCTTCTTCCTTTTTTTTTTTTCTTTTTGGGTCACACCCAGCTATGCTTACGGGTTACTCCTGGCTTTGCACTCAGAAGTCTCCTGGTGGTGCTCGGGAGACCATATGGGATGCTGGGAATCGAACCCAGGTCATCCGCGTGCAAGGCAAACGCCCTACCCGCTGTGCTATTGCTTCAGTCCCTGGCTACTCCTTAAATGTTGACAGGAAACTAAATATTGTTTTGCAAAGTACGAAACTCTCAGATACATATTTTTGAGCCAAATGTAAGAACTTAGTTACTTTCCACTACCAAATCATTAAATATAGGCTGTGCAGTGACCACAGGCAGAAAGTTGACCATATGGCAATTCTCCTTATATTTATAAGATTTTCTTTCAACCTTTATAGTAGTATGATATTTACAGATAACATATCACTGTCACTGTCCTCCCATTGTTCATCGATTTGCTTGAGCGGGCCCAGTAACATCTCCATTGCAGACTTTGTTGTTACTGTGTTTGGCATATCGAATACGTCACGGGTAGTTTGCCAGGCTTTGCTGTGCAGGCGAGATGCTCTTGGTAGCTTGCCTGGCTCTCCAAGAGGGGCGGAGGAATTGAACTTGGGTCGGCCATGATGGCTGCGTGCAAGGCTAACGCCCTACCCGCTGTGCTATCGCTCCAGCCCACAGATAACATATTTTGTGAAATTTTAATGATATTTCTTCAATGCTAGCGTAAGTGATCTTTTAGAATGGCAAACGTTAGTAATAGTAATGAGATAATTAGCACTGTAACAAATCATAACATTCATTTTTATTTTTAAAGACATTCTCGTGACAAATTAGTGGCATGGCGTGAAATGTCTATGGAGGTTGGTGTGATCATTGCAGAGTTTTGTCACCTTAGCAATAATCCTCAGGCTTTTGAAAGCCTTTGTATGCAAAGGGCATTTCTACTCTATTTTTTAAAGAGTAATGACTTATTTACTCTATGTTCCATAGCCTTCTTGTCCCACGGCCATTGAGATCCGGTCAAAACAAAATTTCAGTGTTTAGTGTAGGGGGTAAGAGGGTAGAGTTAGTAAAACAATAACCAAGAACATTGACCTAAGAAGCACTTGAACTTGGGCTTGTTTTCTGGGTGTGGGAAGTTCCAACTCAGGTCCACTTTATGCATAGAAGCATCCATGGGTCAGTTCTGATTGGTGGAAAGTTGCATATGGTGATTGGTCCAGTTCTCTGCTGGGTGCTCTGTGGCCTGTGACTTTGTGTCTCCTGAAGCCGGAGGCCCCGAGAGCTCTTCAGGGGCCTGGAGGTGCCCACTGCTCACCCACACTAGCTTGTCTTCCCTGGTGGCATTCTGCTCTGCTTCCACTCCCCAGACCCAAGCGACGCCAACATGCTATTTCCTGTCAACCTGAACATTATTTTATTTCTAGCAGGCATTTCTAGCAGACACTGAAGAGCCCACTTTTTTTTCTAATTAGAAAACAATTTAGATATTTTTTTAGTGTTGTTCCAATGCAGCAGTTCACCTTTTTAATGAGCATTTGCATTTTTTTCTTTGTGTTTTGGTCCACATCCGGCGATGCTCAGGGGTTACTCCTGGTTCTGCACTCAGGAATGACTCCTGGCGGTGCTTGGGGGTGGGCCACTTGCCAGGCAAACACCCTACCTTCTGTACTATTGCTCCAGCCCCATTTATGTTTTTGCCTTTCTATATTCAACCCACTGGAAGTCTTTATGTGTGTGTGTGTGTGTGTGTGTGAGAGAGAGAGAGAGAGAGAGAGAGAGAGGAGAGAGACAGACACAGACACAGACAGAGACAGAGAGACAAAGAGACAGATAAGAGAGAGAGACAGAGAGAGACAGAGAGACAGAGACAGAGAGAGACAGAGAGAGAGAGTGTGAGAGAGAGTTATAAATCCTAGACCTGCTAATCAGTAGTTGTGTCAGGAACTGTGTCCCCCAACAGCCCAGACCCCACTCTGACGCCTGTTTGTTCTCCCTCACAGAATGGCCTCAACGCTCTCCACCTGGCAGCCAAGGAGGGCCATGTGGGGCTGGTGCAGGAGCTGCTGGGACGAGGCTCCGCGGTGGATTCTGCCACCAAGGTAATGTCCGCGCTGCTCGTGCCTGCTCTCCTTCGAAAGATGACTCGGAGCTTCATTTCCTTGCAATGCAATACAGGTTTTGCTAGAAAACCAACATCCTTTACGCAGAGCTAAAGTGGAAACCATTCCCATTACACTCATTAGGGTTTGGCTTGACAGGTGACAGAGAAATCTGTGAAAACCTATTTCTAAAGTTTGTCTCTTTTCCTCTTTGAGTCACACAGAGTAGACTAATGCGATCCTCTCTATCACTGTATCACTGTTAACTCATTTCTTTAATTGAATTGGAAAGTAATGTGGAACTTCTCAACAATGAAGCAATGTGCTTGATTTACTTAAATAATTCTGTCTTCCCAGGTATATATTTAACATGGTTTGAAAATATAGTCTTCTTACGTGCTAATAGAAAAGAAATTTTGAGTCATGAATTGAGCTATGAGAATAACATTAGACTTTGTTACTAGAATACTGTTTTTAAGGAAATCAAACTCTTTTTTAAAAAGATTTTTATAATAGGGATTTTTAATAAAATCTATACTGCTTTTTTTAAATAAAAGATAGATTGCCTGTTTATTTTATTGTTTTGTTTTTCGGAGGAACCATGTCCATTGGTGCTCAGGACTTATTCCTGGTTTTGGGATCAAAACTCTGTCATGGGGACTGAACCAGGGTCACCTGTATGCAGGGCAAGAACCCTCATCCCTGTACTATCTCTCCAGCCCTGCTAAATATATCTGAGCCTTTCAGAAACAACAGATATTAAAGTACATATTATCTGTGTTGACAGATCTCTGTCTTTATAAGGTGAAGTTTAATTTGGAAAAAGAAAATTGTAATCAGCTAGACTCCAGCCAGCTTGGGAGGAAGGCTGTGGCATCTCTGGCGATAATGGAGAGAGGGGGACAGTGGTCACTGCAGCCTCCAGCAGTGGCTTCAGGGACAGACCCTGTGAATTCCAGAATTGGTGAAGACTATGGTCATTCACCTGCAGCCCCTTACTTCATGCTCAGTTGTCCAAATACGCATCCGTCCTACAGTTGCAAGGATGCAGCAAGCCTGGTGAAATCTAAGAAAGAAACAAAAGCAACAACAGAGATCTCAGGGTAATTCCAAAGAAGATTAAAATAGAAGTTCACTGCACTCCTTACTTTGGAAGTAAAGAATAAACATTTGCATCAATTAATCCATGACCATGAGTAAATGTTGCACTAGTTTTAAAAGATGATGCTTTTGGGAGCTGGACCATTAGTACAGCAGGGAGGGTGTTTTTCTTGCATGCAGCTGACCCGAGTTTGATCCTCAGCACCCCATATAGTCCCCCTGAGCACCACCAGGAGTAATTCCTGGGTGTAGTGCCAGGAGTAAATTCTGAGCATCACTGGGCATGGCTCAAAAGCCAAAGGAAAAAAATTAAGCTTTTTATTATTTTTAAAAAAGATGATTGGTTTGGCAAGACAGTGAAAGATTGGCTCCCTGTGAGTTGTCAAGGATAGAACCCAGGTCACATACACGCATGGCAAGTGCTTTACACCGAGCTGCATCCCTGTCTCCTGAGTCTTTCATGCAAATACATTAGAGTCATCAAACCTATCACATTTGGGCTGAATACATTATTTTATTCTCATTTTCTGTCCTTTAAAATACAGTTCCTCTTTGAATCTTGGATTCAGCCATACCATTTTACATCTTGAAATAAATCTACTGGAAGTGCTTCATGACATGAGGTGGTTCTGGAAAGACAGTACAGGAGTTAAGGCACATGCCTGGCATGAGGCCGACCCCTGTGACACCCCTGGCACCTCATGGTCCCCCAGAGCATTGCCAAGTGCTGCCCTGGAAACCCACAAGCACTGCCGGGTAATGCAGCATCGCAGGGTCCAAGCTGAAGCACATTTTTTCCCCTTTATTTTATTTTTTTTTTACAGTTGTAGATTTACAATTTTTTGTGCTTTGGTTTCAATTATACAATGATCAGATACCCATCCCTCCACCAGTGCCCATTTTCCACCACCATGGATAATATCCCTCCCACCCCCATCCCCCCCATCCCCCCTGTCTCTGTGGCAGGGCAATCCCCTGTGTTCTCTCTCTTCTTTTGGGTGTTGTGGTCTGCAAAAGAGGCATTGAGTGGCAAACATGTTCAGTCCATAGTCTACTTTCGACATGCATCTCCCCTCCTGGGAGGATCCTCCAAACACCCTTTATTTGGTGCTCCCTTCTCTATCTGAACTGCCCTTTCCTCTAGGATACCCGGCTGGCCTCTAAGTTATGGAGTAATCCTCCTGGTGAAGCACATTTTTGATCCTTGCATTGAACTGTAAGGTCTGGTTGGCTAAGTCAGAAACAGACCCCTTGGGGCTTCTTGGGAAGCTTAAACATTTTTGAGAAATAATAAAACAAGAGGGGAGACAATCAAACCCTCAGTAAAGACCTTGGGAGCTGTTCAAGGCCTCTCATGGCGTTTGTGACATCACAAGTGGGACTGTCTCCAGCATATACCTGCGATGTGGCAGCTCTGCTCACTTTTGTGTGTGTGTGTGTGTGTGTGTGTGTGTGTGTGTGTGTGAAAGAGGGAGAGAAAGAGAGAGAGAGATTGATTTTCATCACATTATACAAGTCTGTTCATCTTCATTTATGCCTCCTCTTAATGAAAGGTTTACATTATTTTTCCTGTGTACTTGATACAGTAGATACAATTTTGGTAAATTTCAATGAAGCCAATGGTAAAAATCAGGGGTTCATGTAAAACATACACCCCCCACCCGCCCCAAAGTTCTTGAACACCAATCATGTGCTCTAGTGACTAGAAAATTAGCTGTAAGTAAAGCCAGTTTGTACCTCTTAAAAATTCCTAGGTTTCCACAACACTCAAAAGGAGAGAGAGAACAAAAGGGAATACCCTGCCACAGAGGCAGGGTGGGGTGGGAGGATGGGGGATGGGAGGGATACTGGGACCCGTGGTGGTGGAAAATGGGCACTGGTAGAGGGATGGGTATTTGATCATTGTATAATTGAAACCCAAGCACAAAAATTTGTAAGTCTACAACTGTACCTCATGGTGTTTCACTAATAAAAGTTAAATAAAAAAAAAAAGAAAAAAATTCCTAGGTTTCCCTACAAAATGACATAAGCATCATTTTGCTTGATTTTGGCTAATATTTTCTAGATGTGGGACTGTATAGGTGTTGAATAAATCTTGTGCATGGTGATATTGTCTTACACAGAAGCATAGGAACAAACACACACAAAATTACTTAATTCCTCTGTCTTTTTTTTTTTTTTTTGCTTTTTGGGCCACCCCCAGCGATGCACAGGGGTTACTCCTGGCTCTGTGCTCAGGGGACTATATGGGATGCTGGGAATCGAATCCGGGTCAGCCGTGTGCAAGGCAAATGCCCTACCCGCTGTGCTATCTCTCCAGCCCTGTCTTTTTTGTTTTAAATGGAAAGTGGAGGTGGGTTTTGGCCGCCCAAAGGGTGCTTGGAGGCTCCTCCTGTCTCTGTTCCGGGATCACTACAGGTGGTGTCCAGGGGACCAGATGCAATGCCAGGGAATGAACTGGGGGTTGACCACATGCCAGGAAAGAACTTTAAACCTGGCTCAGTCTCTCCAGCCCCTGATCTTCCTGTGTTTTAACATACACCAGGATTGTGAAGGTTGGAAAAGGAAGTCCACAATGAGAAAGTCATTTTGATGATAGCCAGTTGAAATCATCTACAAGCTGAAAGTGCATGTATCATTTGATTTCTCCCAAGTATGGAAGGCACTAACATTTTATGTTTTATTTCTCAAAAACAGAAAGGAAACACTGCTCTTCATATCGCATCTTTGGCTGGACAAGCTGAGGTTGTCAAAGTTCTCGTTAAGGAAGGTGCCAACATTAACGCCCAATCTCAGGTATTCCATTCAGATGTTCCTCTAACGTGAATGAATTTAAGTCAGAACAGCTTGGTGAAATTGATTCAATAGTTTTGCCCAGCTGTTAAGCAGAAACATTTACTATAAATACTTCTGTTATTTATTTTAGCCAAGTTATTTTCTTAACTTATGCTGTGACATATCTTTCTCTCTTTTATTTTTTTGATGTATAACGATCTCTTAATATAACTGAAAATTTGACACGTGCACCATTATCATTATCTTTAAGTGCATTGAAAAGAATATGAAGTGTTTTCTCCAAGTTGACAGCGGCATCTGTGAAATATAAATTATTCATGCTAGTTCTGTATTGCTCTATAAAAGCATTTTCACTCCTTAAAATTTAAAAATTTTCAAGAGATTAGCATTTCAGTGGAAAAGTCTGCTAAAAGTGGGAATCACACTACCTTGGTTATTTGACACCCCAATTGTGGGGTTTTACAGAATCAGTAAAGGAAGGAGGAAAATTCAATCTTTACACGGTCTTATGATGCATGGAATGTGGAAGTAGTCTAAAATTACAAGATAGGAAATATGTGTTCTTAAGATGAAATGAAACCAAGATCGAATTTTAAATAATCATCAGAATACCTTGTAAACTTGATTCTTTTTTTTAGAGAAAGGGGGAGTAATTTTGTTTTGCCCAAATCTTTGCTTTTGATATCTACTATGTATTTAGGAGGAAATTAAGATGTAATTCATTATATCCAGATCTACTTATGCTCTGAATTTTTTATAGTTTTTTTTTTTTGAAACACAGACCAAACCATGCGAGCTTTTGTTAAATCATTTTCTCTCTATCCATTCTTTGGAAGAACCACATTAGCTTTGATGGCCCTTGTTTTGGAATGTTTCCTATGTTGCTCGTTTATCCATTATGCAGACAGAACTTTAGTCTATAAATGGCATAAATCCTGACCTATAAAATAACTAGTGGGAAAACTTATTTTCAACCCTGTTTTCTTTTACTTTTGTTATAGGGAACATCCTACTAAAATTTTGGAGGACGAGATTCTCTCTATTTTTATCATATAGAGATGTGATTGTTATCTATAGCTGTTAATCTAATCTTATTGCTTTAACTAATCACATTTCCCCTATACCCCCAAATTTTCATTATATACACACCAATGGTGAAAAGGGCTGACAGTAAATGATTCCCAGTTCTGTGCCCTGGGGTCACTCCTGGTGGGAACTCAGGGGACCAAGTGACACTTGAGGATGAAACTCGGGTTAGCTTCATGCAAAGTGAGTGCTTTAACCATGCACTATTTCAGTGACCCCAATATTTTGACATTTATCAAGAATATGCCTTATTCTAAAATCTTTACCTAATGAAAAAAATGTTTCTAAATTGATACAAACTGTTTAGAATGTCTTTGTATTCTACAAAGCATAATTGTATCTCAGGTGTGAAAACAGAGGACTTAGGTAAAATCTCCTGTTCCAAAGTAAGGAAAAGTTCCGGACTTTTCTTTATAGCTAGAGATTCCAGTTTTGCTTCAGAGTGGAAGCTCTCAGACTTTTGCTTGCAGCATAGTGCTCTGGCCTTGACACATGTCTAGGTCCCTCCCAAGAGTTTCTGGGTTACTCTTCCAGAGGACCAGAGAATTTTCATTCCCTCCATTCTCAGATCACACTGATGTTCTGAGAATCACTGCTGCTGAGTCTGTAGAGAACGCTGGGCTCAAGCATTAAGCTGTACCAAGAGGCCGTCGGACTTACACATCATTGATTCGACTCAGTGCATGTGCCAATAGCTTATGGACTTGTAAAAGAAACCTGGAAATGAGTGCCTAGACCATTTCTGTTTGTTTTGTTGTTGTTTTGGGGCCACATCTAGCAGTGTTCAGTGCTTACTCCTGTCTCTGCACTCAGAAATCACTCTTAGTGGTGCTCCAAGGAACCAGATGGAGTGCCGGGGATTGAACCCAGTTAGGCTGTGCACAAGGCAAGTGCCCTACCTGCTGTACTATCTCTCTGGTCCCCAGTCTATTTCTATTGCCCAAAGGAACATCTCTTGAACAGGAAGTTCATATGGACAGTGATACTGTTTATGATCAACAGAAAGAGCCTGGTTACTTTTCTCAAAATGATTAGTTGAACATATAGATTTGATGAATATGGTCAGTTGCAAATGCTACAAGTCACACACTGGATTAGAGCTGTATCATTCATTGTTCATGGTTATTGGAAAGTTACATGCTTTGGAGTCTTTACAAGGAGAAGAAGCTAAAATAATTTAATCATTTAATAAAAAACTTTCTTTTCAGAGTCACTACATCTGGTAATTATAGTTATAATCATGCTGCATTATAAATGATCTTAAAAGAAAATTTAAGTTATCTTTAAGAGTTTAACATCATCTTTATTTGCACTGAATATAAATAGCTCAGTTAAAATTTACATTGCAGACTAGCTTGCTGAAAAACTTCAAAAACTTCAAACTGATTTTTACATTGTGATAAAGTCCTGGAGTAAGACAAATTAATAATAAAAACTACCTTTTTGAAAGAAATCAAAGTAATTCTTTTATAAAACCTATGGCATTATTAACATTAAATTATGGTTATCAATGAAAATTTGTTATTACTTAGGATATTTTTATAACTTAAGGATTAAACTTAAAGTGCTAGAATTATGTATAAAACAGGTTGTTTGTTTGGCTCATTTCTGTACGTGAACTCATGACTTTAGGACTGTTGAGATCCTACACAAGTTCTTTGCCCCAGATAATTCTCACTAGCTCCATCTTATTTAAGATACAATTGGATTTGATGCAGGAGGTGAGGGTGTGGCATTTGGGGCCATACCTAGCTATACTCAGGGCTTACTCCTGGCTCTGTGCTCATGGATCACTGCTGGTTGTGCTCAGGAGTTGGATGTGGTGTTGATGATTGAACGGGATCAGTTGCATCCAAGGCCAGTGCCTTAACCCCTGTCTGACCTCAGGCTCTAACCCCTACTTTGAAAAAGTTAAAAAAAATATTGTCAGAGTTAAAAGTTCCTTTCAATACTTGCAGCACTTTTTGTTTTTTGCATTTTGGGTCACACCCAGTGATGCTTAGGGGTTACTCCTGGCTCTGTACTTAGGAATTACTCCTAAGATGGAGTAACAAATTACTCCTAAGGTGGTGTGCAATGGACCATATGGGATGCCAGATATTGAACCCGTGTCGGCCCAGTGCAAGGCAAATGTACTACCCACTGTACTATTGCTCTGGCCCACTTGCCCTTTAAAATGTAACCACCCAGTTTCATTTCTGAAAATTTCTACAATTCCTGTCAGGCAATTCATATCCCAAGAAGAGGCCTTTTTTTTAATTCCCTAGCAGCTTTGGTGTAATGCCCCGCTCAAGTTGGCAGTTGACTGTATACATGTGTGTTTAGCACATGTAAGACTTCCTTTGGAATTTAAGTCATTCTCTGAACAAAACAGATGTGAAGAGTGACAGCTGTGCTGACAGGAATGTGGGCCTCCTGTCTCTTCTCCATCCTCTGTGTGCCAGATTGCTTTGGACCTGTTTCCTTACAGACAGGCGAGACTCAGGTGGTTTATTTTCTTCCCCATTAACTTATATCCAGGCAACACTGCTTTTCATTATTTCATATTCGTTCTTCTTTCACTGCAGAGAGATTTTTTAAATTTCTTTTTCTTCTGGCCCAATCCTGAGGAAGGTCCAAATCAGCAGACTCTCCAAAAAGTTGAATCCTTGCAAAGAGCATAAGGAAGAAAGTTTGCACTTAGCATCTTTGACGAATTTTAAATACGAGCGCTCTGCAAAAAAAAAAAAAAAAAAAAAAAAAAAAAAAGAAAGAAAGAAAGAAAGAAAGAAAGTTGAAAATGTGAAAGAGATTTCGTTCTCATTATCAAGGAAATCTAGCCTGAGAAATTTCCCTTCTTTCACTTTCTCTATAAAAATGGGACTTTTTGTTCCTTATAGAGGAGAACATTTTTTTCTTTCTATCTTTATTGTGTTCGCCTTATGTAAAATCATAAAAATCATCATGACTGTTCTCATTAAACACAGAAATCTGAAAACAGCTTTCTGTGTTTTATTTTCACAAAGCAATTTGGTTTATATAGTGTCCATTTTAGGATAATTAAAAAAAAGACTACATCCTAGAGTAGTTTACACCTCTGTATGATAGAAACAAAGGGGAGCGTGAAGTATGAGACCATAGAATTTGCAGGAAGGGCCCGGGATTCTCGGAGGGATGGAGCACGTGCAGCGTACGCAGGGGGCCCAGGCTTGCTTGCAAGCCCATTCCACATACCGCCTGGACCACTTCTCAGTCCTGGCTGGTGTAGACACATCACCACCAGATGTGGCCCAGACTGATGCCAAGCAAAGCACACTTGTGGAGAGCTGTAGCTTTTTAAATTCTTACATGTTCCATAAATCTAAGATGTTTGCAGTCCCTGAGAGTCATAGGAACAAATATGTGACCAGAGAAAAGAAGGGATGGACTTAAAGACTCCAGGAAAAAACTTTGTTTTTTTTGTTTGTTGTTGGTTTATTTAGGGGGCCAGTTGTGCTCTGGCTACTCCAAGCTCAGTGCTCTTGGGAGTTGATCCTGGTGGGTCTTGGGGAGGATCATATCAAGTCAAACCTGGACATGCAAAATATGTGCTCAACCCATTAGTATATCTTTTTGGTACCCTAAGAGACACTTGAAGGAAGTGTGTGTGTGTGTGTGTGTGTGTGTGTGTGTGTGTGTGTATGAGAGAGAGAACAGATTGCAGCTACCACTAAACCATAGTCTAAACTAAGAATGTATGCAGACTCTTGCATTCAAATTCTTCATTTTAAAGTATGTTGTTGTATGCGACTTAATCTCATTTTATCTTTGTAATTGTGAGTCAGTGATGATTTACTGACTCAGAAGCTAGGAATAACTAACAGCTTTACCCCAGAGCTAGGTAACTAAGGGGGAAAGTACACTCTAAGATCTTTTCAGAGTTGAGACTTTCACAG